ACCCAGAGCCAACCCGCTCAAGAGCTACCACTAAATGTTTCTCAGGCGCAAGCAAATTTTGTCTAGTCCGGAGAAATCATTCTCAGTGATGAGGTTTTATTAAGGACAACAAAGAACTAAACCTTCAGCTATGAAATGCTGTTACCCTCACTAACCCGTTACTGGGGTTAGTGTAAATGTATAACCAATTATATTTGAGGGACATCGGATTCATGACCTTGCCTAAGTCAAACAACATCAGACGCCAACAGCATCATCGAAGAACCAGCGAGCGATGAGTCGCATAACGTGATAGATGTCATGTTCTATGAATTTCTTCATTATTCGATATAGTTACGAACTAATGTCATGTTATTACTAATTCTTGTTTCGTTTACGATAGCGAACTCTAGTTGTCTCTGTTACGGAGCGTCGCCGAGAAACCTGGAATCAAAAAGCCGAATTCCTTTTAGCGGTAGTTGGATTTGCTGTTGATCTAGGCAACGTTTGGCGTTTTCCGTATATTTGCTATCAAAACGGTGGCGGAGCATTTCTTATACCCTACTGCATTATGTTAGTATTTGGCGGTTTGCCTTTGTTCTACATGGAATTAGCATTGGGTCAGTTTCATCGTTGCGGTTGCATAAGTATATGGAAACGTATATGTCCGGCTTTAAAAGGTAAATAAAAGAAGAAAAAAAAAAACAATGAGACAGAGAGAGAGAGAGAGAGAGAGAGAGTGAGAGAGAGAGAGAGGGGGGATGAATGTAGGTTTTGATAGTCACCAGATAAAGTGCGTGCATTGTACTTTTTTTTTAATGTGGGCGTGTTAACCGAAACGTTATAAAGTGAATATTATAAGTTCTTATAACCCGTAATATTAAGTTTATTAGATTTGTGGACGTGTTTTCTCACCTAAGTCTTGTTTTCACCGAAGCTTTATATAGTTCTCCTCGCAAGCATTTGTAACGAGATAACAACGAATATATTCGATAGAACTTGTAGATGGAGTACATTTCTTTTTTTCTTAAAGTAATTATAGTTACAAGCGAAGCTTCAACGAAATACTTTACAGTCGTAAGTATTCCCGACAAATCATGTCACCTTTATCGGCTTCGTGTGCTAATCAGAAATATATAAGTCCTTCATGGATCTTATATGCATCCATTCTTCTTCGTGAGTGGTTTATAAAAAAAAAAAAACAAAGCAATAATCAATCATTCGTTACGATGAATATTACAAATGCGGAACACATTAAATATTAATGAAAACAAGTCCCACGTGACTTTTGCATGATTTTCAAGTTAACTACTTTTTCGTTATATTAAAAACACATTCTTATCATGCTAATAAGACACGTTGCTTCTTATATGGCTTTTAACAATACATAGAAGTACCTGTAAATAGTTTTTGTTTCATTTTTCAGCTCCTTTTGCTCATCGATTTAAAGTAAATGTTTACTTTAGTTCGCTTTACAAACGCATGTTTGCTATTTTATTTAATAGTAGAAAAAATTTCATATTACTTGTCGAATTGATTCTTTTATCCTTTCGCAATACCAACAGCGATGGAAGGAAGTTGTTTGAAAAAAAAAAAAACGAAAAAAACACAAAAAAAACCTTGAGTTACGTAACTTTTGTGGAGCCAGTGACTATTGAAAGTTTTAGTGCCTAAGCAAACACTTGTTGAGTGAATAGTGCAAACCATCGACAAATACGTCTCTTGTTAATGTTTTCAAAAGAATGCGTCAAAGCATACATAAATCATGTCTATTAGGTACACAGAAGCCATTGTCTGCGCGATTATGCCCGTAAAAAATTCACATTAAATATGTATTCGGATATCAAAGGTTTATTCGCATCGAATGTAGGATTTAATATAAAATATAATTTTTGATCATGTTATTCGTTCTTGGCTCGAAAAGGTTCGCAAATCGGTGATGGTAACTTTAAATTTAAGTATAAGAATAAGTAAGATTGTCATTCGGAAGGCACGATCGCTTTACAACGTACGCTTAATGATAGGCAGTGATAGAAGCATTGATGCTCTAAGTGATGTTGATAGGTAATAAAATCTATTTCTATTATTATTATTATTATTAATTTCGGCTTTTATTAAAAACTCTACCGCACTTGAGATTCGAACCCACGACCATTGAAGTTGCTAGTCGAGATTCCTCGCCTTCGGCTACTCAGGCGGATCTCTATTTCTATTAATATTTACAACCTGCGTATATAAAGAATTAATTTAAATCAAAGGGTCACAAATGAGAAAATTGTATTAGGTCGTAACCAAGTCTTTTATACCCATCGCAATTATCCTAAAAAAGGTAAGAAAAATATAAAAGAACCAAATTTTCATGTTCTATAATATTTGGAGGACGCGGTTGATTTTTCTATTTTCGAAATAAAAGATTTTGTCGCATGCGCGTATAGACGTTGTAGACGTGTCCTTTAAAAAGTTTCTTTTTTGTAAATTTGTGGGCGATCTCTTCACGTTCGCTAACGGAAAAATATCTAGCACAAATACTATACAATTGGGTAGGCGAACAGATGGACAAATAAACAGGCGGACATGCTTAGATGCATTCCACATTCAACAGTGGCCATGAATTTATATACTTCATGGCGTTTTGCAAGCTTGTTTCTGCGCTTTACAACAGCTTTATAAGAAAAATTAAGTTTGGTAGGCGCGGTCAATTTTTTCCATTTTTGTGTACAGTTGCTATAGCATTGCCCATAGAATACGCGTTCAATTTTTTGTACATTTATCGGTTAAAGTTTATGCGTAATGTTCATAAATCAATTTCTTATTTCTTTCGACAAATAGAGGAGTTCTCAATTTACGTGACGCTAAAGGCACGTACTTCGATCGATTTGACCCATTTTCAATACCAATCTGCGCGCAAGAACTTCCAATGTTTTTGCCAAATTTGAGGTTGATAGCTTCGTTTTTGCGGTCAGGAGTTGTTTAAAGGAGACATCAATAGACGGACAGACAGCCAGACCGACAAAGGGTCATGCTTCATGGATTCATGGAGAATTTGATGCAGATCAAGAGTATATATGCTTGACGAGGTCTCTGCAGCTTTCTTCTGGTCTTTGCATACGTTTTGACAAAATGAATACATCCTTCGTCGTTCGATGATGGATATAAAGAGCGAAAGAGCGAAATGTAGAAGCATTGATTGTTATAACTTACTACCTTTATAAGATGCCTTACTAAAATTTGATACAAATATTAAAACCTCAATTTTAGTACGCGGATCAATCAAATGACGTATCGACAATTATCATAATGTTTTAGGAGTGCTGGGGCGGTTGGCGATTGAGTTGGCCTCTCTTGCTTAGCATTTGAATCATTTAAGACCGAACTCTTTCACTCCGAAGAAAGCTTACTTTTCCCATTTCGAAACATTTCTTAAAAAATATCAGCTTTACCAAGGAAACAGGTCATATTCGGTTGGGGCCAGAGCCCACATATCCACGCTATTAAAGTCTTTTATTTGTTGTGTTAAAAAAAGTGAATGGGATAATATCTTTCACCTTTTACTTGACTCAAAAGTATTACTAAGAAAATTTGGCGACGTTCAGCATAATTAATTTAGAATTAAGACACTTAGCTTTTCGTATTCTATTCTCCAAGCCCTTCCATTTGATACTCCTCGTATGGACGATGTTTCTAAGAAAAAATTTTTCAAACATGTCGTGACGTCCACCACTACTAATATACAATTAACATACTTCGCTTGTCGCAATCTATTCTTCAATTCCTTTTATATGATACCCATACGGCTGGTTGTGTGAAGAGAAATTCAATTCACCACATCGTGGTGTCCATCATATGTGTGAGTAGCGAGAAAAACAGAGTTGCCTTCAGTTTATGCTTTATTGCGGGCGTCTGCTCTGACCAATTCGGTCCATTTTCAATACCAACCCATGTGCAAAAACTCCCAACGACTCTACCAAATTCGAAGTCGCCATCTTCATTTTTGCGATGAGGAGAGTGGCAAAAACACACACCACACAGATAGACAGACGAATAGACATGACTTAATCAATTCACTAGTATCTCATGCTGATCAGGAGTATATTATATGCACTTTATAAGATCCCTTTTGGGTATTGGAAACATTCGATACAATGAATAAATACCAGTGGTAGATATAGAGAAAGGCATGAAAAAAATAAACCCAGTCTTTGGTAACCATATACCATTTACAACGGATCCTTTAAGCTAATCTATGGTATTTCTTCACTTAACTTGCTCAGCCGAAATTTATTTTTATATTCTTTAAGAAGGAAAACAATTTTGGTTAAAGAACCTACATATCGTGTAAATCGAGAGATGAATGAAACAGCTTTGCCATTATCTCATGAATAGTTTCAATTTGCTTAGCAGCAATAAGTGAAATAAACTTAGTTTCCCTTTAATCGAATGTGTAAAGCGACGCAATTGAAGTAAACTGAAAAAGGAGTTAAGATTGTCTTGTGATGATAATTTATTTTGTACGTCATTTCCAAATGCTGGCATACGAAATGCCCACTGACACATGCACACGCATTAATTGAACAGAAAGAATCTGATTGCGCTTTGAATTTTCTCTGAATTTGAAAACTAAAGAGAAACAAATAAAAAAGGAAAATGTTTAAGTGGAACTTGTTGCGTATTGACTAATTGCTTACAAAGATTAGATATGAATAAAAGGCGCAACAGTTCAAACGAAAGAACTCATCTACAAATTTATACATATATATATATATATAAATGTTTATAACTTTTACAATATAATTAAATTTGGGTTTCTGAATAGCGAACATAATTTTCTATTCAAAACTTGCATATAAACATTTACACACAATTAACTCGAGATATACCAGCAAAATTTATATTTATTCACATATGCACGTTATTAGCATTGTTGATGTACTCAACGTAGATAAGATGAGCAAATGTAAAGCAAGCAAGCAAGCAAGCAGGCTTTGGAGATCTCATGGACTATATTAGACTATATTTATATAAAAACACTTGATCAACGTGAAAAGTAATATCTATGTATAGTCACATTTCTCTATTTATTTACCTACGGAAATAATAGTCGGGTAAAAATCTGATGTTATCTTATATATAATTCCTTTCCATAGTTATTCGCTTAAGATGAAAATTTTGCAAAATACTTATATCCACTCGATAATCTGTGATATAATTTTCATAATATTTTGAGGAGATGAACTGCCTCAACCATGCCAAGCAATCAGTAGGATGATACGCCAGGAACAACAACTGATGCAATGTGCCAGAGGACTATTTCCTGCTTTGCTACGCGTTTACTTTACTCACTTTTCGAATAAATTATGTCACATACGTCAACCTGCGCTATGTTTCAAGTGTCAAGTTTAACAGGTTGCAGCAACAGCTAAATGTATGACAATACATTTAAACGTGTGCATATATAATTGTGTCAAAAAAGTCTTGGGAATTTGTAACACGTTCATTAAACATCCCAGTTTTTATGGTTTAGTTAAAATAAACTTCCAATGAATTAACGGCCTTGTGCCCTGCAGTGTTGCTTGAAACTTTTTATGGTCGTAGTTGACTCGAAATAATTTTCCATCTTGCTTGGTTGCTTGAATTTGAAGGAAAAGTACAAAGTTACACGGACTCAGTTATTACGAGCCAATATCTTCTTTGGCCGATGACACAAACAACAGCAACAAGAAAAAGAGACTCATTTACTTGCTTAACTTAAGTTATTTTACCTTGAGTTTATTTATTATTTTATTTTTACTGCAAGCACAGTTTAAACTCCTGCCAAAGGCAGAGGACTTTTTAACCTCATTCTTCAAACCCTTTCTACTGCATTTATGCGACCTTACCTTTTATGCAATTTGTATTACTATGCACTGTTGTCATCCAAAAGCTAATTGTTTTCGCCAATGCCCGTTACTACTGCCTTTGCATGTTTGATTTCTGATATTATATTGACACAATTTGTAATATTTTTGTATTCAATGATTTTGCATTCATTCTGATCGCCTTTGTAATGCAAAAAAAAAAAAAAAAAAAAAAAAAAAAGACAAAATAAAGTACAGACATTTTTGATTAAATAATTTTTTTCAATTTGTTTACCAATTATTACTTCTCCCTCAAACCCCTAAAAAAAAAAAAAAAGAAGAAAAATGGAAAGACAACAATCTCATCCAATCATTTTTATCATTATCTTACCGCCACTTGTATTACTATCTTATCAATATTCTACTGTCCACTATCTCTTAAGGGCAGTTAAAAATCTACAGCAGTGGCGGTGCGGATTGGTGACAAGTCCACGGCTACTTTGCATGAGCAGAAAGAGATCCAAAATGGCTTAAATGTATTCGCTTATATCTTCAAATATTGACTTTTCATTATTGCAAATAGGCCCGATTGGTTCAGAAATGCTTTTAAAGTATAAAAGATATGTTTATAATTTTATGTGACATCAAAGTTAAGAATGGTGTACTTGCACAGAGCTTGGTCTTTCTACTTTTAAATGAAAGACTATACCATTCTTTTGCACATGCCAAAAAGTTCCTTAGATTTTATATTTCCGTTAACGAAACTCTCGATTTGATCGAAAGGGGATATAGTACTGACGAACAGAAAACCCAAGGACAATTTAGGTATTATCAATAGACAAAGTAGTACGCTCAAATCTTTTTTGGTTCAGTCTTTTTTTGTACGGTTTTTTTTGTGCGATTTCTTTTATGCGATTTTTTTTGTACGGTATTGGAAAAACTGGTTTTTATAGCTACTCGCGAAGTCTTTTGCGATTTTTTTTAATGCGTTTTATTTTATGCGGTCCTTGTCCACCGCATCAAAACACGTATGAGTGTTATGATAGTTGTGATGTTCCTTATTTAAAAAAAATATATATATATATCTACATATATATACACAAAAATCGTTCAGCAGGTAAAGCAATTTAAGTCGCCTACAAGGGGTTTTGATGATGGTTATGATGCATGTTTTAATTAAATAAGCCATTACAATTGACAGTCGTATAAGTTAGGTTTTGGATAAATTTTTTTATGTATTAATAACGGATTAATTGTCTCACATTATTAGTCCCACAATTATTTTATCAAAAAAGCGGAATAAGTTTATTCGTAAAATGAAAAAATCTAGAAATTCCTTTAAAGAAGTTCAATAGTTCGATTTATTTGCAAACTTTTTAATATATAGATATCTAATTCTGTCATAAGGCCTTTTTTATAGACTTATCTATGGGTGTTTAACATTCTTCTCTTTTTAAATTTAGAAAGCTACAAAAATATTCATATGATAAGTTAAAACTAAGTAATCGCTTAAGGGCAGCTATTGAATATCCTACGCAATTCCGTCTAATATAGTTTTTCACGCATCCAAATCTATTATGTGCCTATTCAAAAATCGGACTACAATTCATCAAAGTACATTTCTATATCAAATTGTTCTATTGAATCAAGTTTCATCATAGATTTTTCCTTCTGTACGAGCATCTATGTCAAAGGCGATTGGAAGTGTGTTCCCACTCGTCAATAATTTCCCCGTTTATTATACCCGTCATCGAAAGATGAGGGACATATTCATTTTGTCAAAACGTTTGCAACGGCCAGAAGGAAGCATCAGAGACCACACAAAGTATCTTGATTATCATCAACTTCTAAATCGAGTTAAGAATGTCCGTCTGTCCGTCTAATGGTCTGTCGATCTGTATAAGGTCTGTTTTAAGCATTCCCCTGACCGCAAAAATGAAGCTATCGACTTCAAATTCGTCAGAAACATTGGAAGTGCTTGTGCACAGATTGGTCTTGAAAATAAGCCAAATCGGTTAACGGATTCGCCCACAACACCAAGTAAACTGAGAGTATCTCTGTTTTTCAAAGGGAGTGAAAAATTGGTTTTTCGTTCATTACTCATAAACTATAGCAAACAAGTGGAGAAAAATTTGACCGTATACTCTATGGCCGATGCTATAACATTTGTGCACAAGAATGCAAAAAAATTGACTAAGCCTACCCAACATGGTAGTGTATCAAAATGTAATTATTTTTTCGTAGAACCAAGTTTCAAAAACCCTATAAAGTAAGCAAATTCTTGGCCATTTTCAAATTTAGAAAGCACCTAAATATGTCCGCCTGTTCGTCTGTCCATCTGTCTGTTTGTGTAACTTTGTAGTATTTGTAGTAAACATTCTTCCGCTAGTGAAATTGAAGATATCGCCTAGAAATTTGCCAAAGGAATTTGGAATTGACCTAAATTTTTGAAAGGACACGCCTATAACACCCATATGCCTATACGACAAAAACGTTTATTTTGTAAATAGAAGAAATCAACTGCGCCCGGTCCATATTATAGAGAGTGAGAGTTTTACCATTTTATTTGTTTCATCTTTTTACTTGGTTTGTCTTCGGTCCAGATTGAATTTAGTTTTCTTACTTGTTTAATACATCAAAATAATATTTTTTACGGATTTTTTCTTGTAATGACTTTGCGAAAATAGTTCTTCATGTGCAGAGTGGCACCAAAAATTGACCGATCAATTTAGTAAATGAATCTGAATCTGAGCAATCCTTATCAGAGATGCTATAGGTTGTAAATGTTCCAATATCTAAAAGAAATAGATTTAGGTCACTTTTAAATGTAACAGCTCAAATATTGAACGCCAAAAGGCAAAAACATATTAACTGGTTCATGATGATTCCTATATGTAACAGAATTTATTGAAAAAATCTTAAACAAATATTGTAGCAATAAATGTAAATAAAAATCGTCCATAAAGATATTGCACAATTTGACTGAGTTAAATCAACGGATGCGGTTTAATCAACGATGAATATTCTTTTTAGGTAAAACAAACCTAAAAACGATTTTAAAAGGTTGAAAAAATACTTTATTACAGGCGATATTTGAGGAAATTTGAAATTAGAATTTGCATATGTGCAACTTCTAGATCTTGCCAAGAGACCATCGACACAACGCACCCTTCACAACATTCGAAGCTCTCGAACATCGATATAATAGGTTATGAGAAGATAAATTTCTGCAGAATTATGAGAAAATTAATCAAGTCCTTTAATAGGATCGCTAAATCTTCATAGAGTTCCCGTCCACTCGTCCTTGGATCGCAGACCGCACAATGGACCGTACTTCGAAAACTCTACCTTTAGTAATCGTTTCCGCAAGTCCTCCTGTGTGTTCACTTTTAAACTCTATTCCTTTTTCCTCCCTTCTTTACCTATAATCCTTCATGAACATCACTGTGACCGCATGTACGATGGACCGATCCGAACCATTTTCAGTAGGATTCGCCCCTGATTCAAAGCATGTGATTGTACCAAATTTCATCAAAATATGTCAAAAAGTGCGACTTGTAGTTTGAACACAAAATTACATGGGCAGACATCAGACGAACGGACGGACAGGTAGGCTTGGATCAATCCATACTATGATTCCGAATCGATCGATATAATAAAAAGGATGGGTCTATCTTAAGCCCTTCTTCCTTTTACATACGTCCGCACTAACTTAATCTACTCTGTAGTACACGAGGTGTAGGGTATAAAAAATTTCAAAATAAATAAATTTTCTTAATGCTTTCCTCTAAGACTCTACCGTAATAAGATTTGTTTATAGTTACGATTTCACTGCACTACCTACACATAAGCAGTGGAAGGAAGTTCAATTGCTTAAGATAATGCATTGAAATAGTTTTTCTTCTCTAATGAAGTTATGAGAAGAAAAAAAAGAGAAGAGAACTTTTAAATTTCTAAAGTTTTGTTATTGATTTCGTTTTGGATGCGTGACAGGTGTTGGTTATGCTATCTGCATCATTGACATATACATGGGAATGTACTACAATACGATTATTGGATGGGCAGTTTATTATTTGTTCGCCTCGTTCACCTCGCAATTACCCTGGACATCGTGCGATAACGCTTGGAACACAGATTCGTGCATGCCGGTGACAAATGAAAGTTTTACCGCCAATCAAACTACCCCTGCCAGAGAATTTTTCGAGTAAGTTTTTCTTCTTTCGTTAAAACCCATTTGCAATTTATTTAATTTGTTACGTAAACAACATCAATGAATTTTCGCAGACGTAAAGTGTTGGAACAATATAAATCGAATGGTTTAGATTTAATGGGACCAGTTAAACCAACATTGGCTGTGTGTGTCTTCGGTGTGTTTGTGTTAGTTTATTTTTCTCTGTGGAAAGGTGTACGTTCCGCAGGTAAAGTTGTATGGGTAACTGCTTTGGCTCCATATGTGGTGCTTATCATTTTGTTAGTTCGTGGAGTTTCGTTACCTGGCGCCGCTGAGGGCATAAAATACTATTTAACTCCTGAATGGCATAAATTGCAAAATTCCAAGGTTTGTATATATGTGTGCGTATGTTAAACATTATTATAACCTATGTATGAAATAGGTTTGGATCGATGCCGCTTCGCAAATTTTCTTCTCATTAGGTCCGGGATTCGGTACGCTTTTGGCCTTGTCCAGTTACAATAAATTCCATAATAATTGCTATCGTGACGCCCTAATCACCAGCAGTATAAACTGTTTAACTAGTTTTCTGGCTGGATTCGTTATATTTTCAGTACTAGGGTAAGTAAAAAATTTATGTGAATAATGCGGAGACAGTGAGAGAGAGGACTAAGTAATTATCCTTTGCAGCTATATGTCTTACGTTCAAAAGACTACTATCGATCGCGTCGGCTTAGAAGGTCCGGGCTTAGTGTTTATTGTTTATCCGGAAGCTATTGCTACCATGAGTGGCTCCGTATTTTGGTCGATTATATTTTTTCTAATGTTAATCACGTTGGGACTGGATAGCACATTTGGCGGCTTAGAAGCTATGATAACGGCTCTATGTGATGAATATCCCCGTACAATAGGAAGAAGAAGAGAATTGTTTGTCTTGCTATTACTGGCGGGTATTTACTTATGCGCTTTACCGACTATGACTTATGTAAGTATCGATATATTGAGAGAAATAATTTGTACCTTTCTTTGTTACATACATTCACACCTCATTGTTGTCAATAACGTAATGGAAATGAGGCATTTGTTAAATACCCTTCAAAGTCCTTTTAATGTAGTTAGCTTTCTTGTCTATGCGAAGCATATTCAGGCATTCTTACGAGTTTCATACACACACTTGAGCAGTGATTTGTTGCTCGTAAAAACCATTCAAGCATTTTTTTTTTTTTTTTGTTACTCTTAAATCTTCAGTTGTTATTATTGGTGCAGTTAGGGAGTAACAAATATCACTTGACTTGATTACATTAGAAATTATAATTTGGTGAATGGACATAAACATGCTTATCAATATGTTAATTATACCATATACTACTTGCGATAAATATATGCATAGTTTGCCAGGATGTATGCAACATCAAGGTTGACTACCGAATGCGACAGATCCACTTTTCATGGATCACAAATTTTTTTAAATATATTCATGAAATTTGTCACATTGGTATGATTTTGGATCAATGACGAAAGCCCTTGAAAACAAATTGAATCGAGCCATTTTTTCGATGACTCCTCAAGCATAGAGTGCCTTAGAGTTGCCTTAGTTGCCTTCTATTAAAACAAGACTTTCTCTGATAAGTTTGTTTTTAGATATTTCCCCATATCGGAATCCTCATGAAAAGTAAGTCTTTATATATGTACAGGGTATAGCTTTTGATAATCAGATGAAGTTATAATATAGCGAATGTATATATTACATATATCCATTAAGATAGATGCCTTAGCAGACTATACAAACCGTTTAACCTGCTTTCAAGGATATATTTGCATAGAGTGATCATCCGCTTTACGCAGTATTCACTCAAGTTATATAACTTAGTTTACAGTCGATTTTAAATTTAACAAGTAAGAACATTACAGTCAAAGCCGATCTATTAAATACCCCACACCACTTTATCTAACACAATTCTTATGTTTGTATCAAATTACTATTATGGGTCAATGGGTCAGACAGACTTAGATCAATTCAAATTGTAATTCTGAATCGATCGATATAAAAAAAGATGGGTCTGTCTTAAGCCCTTCCTCGCATTACACACGTCCGCACTAATTTAACATACCCTGTACCACAAGTGGGGCAGCATATAAAAATTACAGCATATTGGACGAGCAAGCATTGTCTCTCTCATGTACATTACATTACTTACATTACATCTTTAAGTGGCAACGTTTTTTTATCATTTACTTATTTTAAGATTAGCATAGTCACGAGCTCACATATTTTTGTATCTTTCGACATTTTAATTCACGTAAATAATGGCTTTGTCTTGGGAAACCGTAAACGCCTTACAAGCGTTCGCAAAATATCAATATTTTTCATCAAAAATTTTCATTCTTTCATTGCAACCGTATGGTGCGTATTCCTGTTTATAAATTTACTAACCTCAGGACGCTCCATAATGTTAACCTTAAAAAATTCAAACAATCAAAGTTCGGTGAGGAGCGCTTTTAATGTCTAAAAGCCCTGTAAATACACACACATGTACATTTCCAATCTATTATTCAGCGAGAATAATAACAACAGTAATAAAGTAAGTCCTCATCTTTTCTTTCTTGAAGAAGGGAGGACTTAGGTTGCTATCAAAGAGAATATCCCACGTGTGGGGTCCTTTGAAATCCTAACGTATTAATTGCATTAGATTGGAGAAATGTAATATGAGTACAAGAGTACAGGGTTTATTTTGTTAGGAGTAGCTCTTACGCTTCTCTTGTTCTAGTTGCAAACTCTTCTTGCCTTTCGATATTTTATTACCACGACAATATAATGAAGACTATCCAGAGAGCCGGATTTTTCACTAGAATTGCAATTGTTTGCTGCTTCAGATTATATAAAGACCGCTGAAGGATACAAAGCTATAAATAGATTTAAATAATTTTCGTAAGCTTGGTGGCGTTTAGTATGTAAAAGGTAGAGCTACGAACTAACCTCAAAATAAACAAATGGAGAAACCTATGACAACATTCTTATGTATAAATATTTAAAATTTTAGTTTTTGTTTATTTACCTCTATTAGCTCTAATTTGATTATAATTTCAATAGGGCGGAGTTTTTCTAGTCAACTTTTTGAATGTTTACGGACCTGGTCTGGCCATATTGTTTGTCGTTTTTGTCGAAGCGGCCGGTGTATTTTGGTTTTACGGCGTTCAACGTTTCTCTGACGATGTGGAAAGTATGTTGGGCAAAAGGCCCGGTCTATTTTGGCGTATCTGTTGGACATATATAAGTCCACTCTTTTTATTGGTAATTATTAAATAATATGATATATGACAATGACAATGACAATTAACATAAAGTTAAACAATAAACATTCATTCGTTCCAATGATTGTTTGTTTCCATTAAAAAAAAAAGTGTTTGTTAAGATTTCTGAATGTTTTCTGAAACGTTTCTTTTAGGTAATTTTTATCTTCTCATTTCTGGGCTACAAGGAAATGTTGGGCGAAGAATATAAATATCCGGATTGGAGTGTTAAAGTCGGTTGGGCTATAACGTGCTCTTCCGTTCTATACATACCCGCCTATATCATTTATAAATTTGTTTTCGCTTCTAAAGGCGATTGCCGTTCTCGCTTAAAGCAATCATTTCAAGCGAATAGAAATGGCAGCAGTGCCCCATCCAATCCGCAGCCGATCAATGTGTGACATGGGATTACGGCAAATCAACTACTTTTCGCAAGCAACAAATATAACGACATTTTCAAACGTCATTCACCAACAACAACAAAAACAATAATAATAATAATAAAGATAATATATAAAATATTTATACAAAAGCTTATTGTGCTTGATTCGCGGCGCGATCATCAATCCATCTCAAATTCATATTGTACGGTATAACGGATATTTGAACGTGCAATAAAAATGCTTACGTAAATTATTTAATGTAAATTTAATGATTAGAATAAGATTTAATAATTACAATAAATTTAATATTAATTATTAATTAATTATAAACTAATTATTAATTATAATATAATGTTACTTGATTTGTAAATTGATGAACGATAACGAACGATCTATATATGTCGATGCTAATGCTGAGGACAATAATTACGCAGTGGTGCTCAGCAGTAATTGTAAACCACTTAATCAACAATAACAACAACAACAATAACTGACGGACGGACATAACTAGATTTGAAGCTAAAAAATTTATATATAAATATATTGTTAAATTCCCGCCACGTACAAAGATAATAAATAATAATTATATATATATACAAATACATAAACAAAATAGCAGTAATTAAGCTTAATACATTTGCATTATTTCATATATAATTTATTTAACATAAGTAATGCTTGTTTCCTACAAAAAAAAAAAAAAAAAAAACACAAAAGATATTTTTATATGTATATAGAAAAGTTCTTTAGAATAAATTTATTTTTCCAACTAAACAATTTCATAATTCACAGCCATAGTTATGAAATTGTTTACCTAATGCAAAATATTCTTCATTTCGTACATTAAAATTATCTGTAAATAATTGTTTATTACATATAATTATGATTTGCAGTATTATTATATACATAAATTAATTACTTCTCTTAAGGTCAAATCAATCAAATCAAACAAATAATTGCAAAACAGCCATTTGCAATTATTTGACATATATATAAAATATTTACATGTATTTTTTATTTCATAAATATATTTTCGTTTTCAAAAAAAAAAAAGAAGAAGAAGAAAACTTTCAGCATTTTTAATGTGATCACCACTGGCCTTTACATTACAAAACAATTAAAAGCTTGGATCGTCTTAGTTCCGTCATAGTGTACACCTCGTCAGGATTTATTAGATCATTACTAGTAGTGAGCAATGGGCCGCTAGAACAGATTTAGGCGACCCTCCACATATATAAGTTCACTCGTACAGCTAAGCATCGAGCTATCGCGAGAGTTGTCTCAAGTGCAGACTTTTAAAGAAATATAAACAGCCCTCGCCACTTACAATTCGCCGAAACCAATAGGTAAGTGCACAGAGCAAGTCGATCAACCGCAGTCATACCTGTGCCAGGGAAAAGTCGCTTTTATGTGTTATGTTTATTAATAATCGAAGCATCTTTGATCCTACCTGACTGCCCATAGAGAAAACCTATAAGCTATATTACTTTTAGGGCTACTCGAAAGTGCCACTTTATAAGGATAGGATGTTGATGAGAGCTATGCACGTGACTTCGCTGAGCTAGCTAGTTCGGGAGATGTGGGGGGATTTTACAATTTTGACTCCAGGACACTCCACAGACGTTTATATTTAAAAGAGTAGCACATACTTACGCTTTAACGAAAACACGGACGAATGAAACCTAGCTTACCGAACAGGCTTACTCTAAGCCCTGGACCCACCATACCTAATGGTCTTCGGTACACACGTAAGACGTAGTCTTTGTTTGCCTTATACTCTTCGACTAAGCTCTTTTAGATCTTCTTTTTTTTAATTTGCTTTTAGAAAGATAGGTAAAGGTATAGAGGGACAGACTAACGGGCGGACATACTTAGGGGGATTCCGAATTTGACATTGGTCAACAATATATTTACCTTCGGGGATTTCTGAAGCTGCCTTCTAGGTGTTGCAGACATTGTGACAAAATCAACACTTCGTCATTTCTCGTTGGTTGGCACAAAGGTGTTACTCGCTGAATTGCTCGTAAACGATTGATAAAGATATTCTTGCGAAAAAGTACATCGCAGTTACGCCGCCTTTTATTATGTTTTTATCAAGTTTCATCAAGTACATAAAAAATCTTATATTTTTTTTTAGTTTCAAAGACGTAAACTCTAGTCGCGGCAATCCAAAAATCGGGAAACTCCTACTAAAAAGAAAAGATAGTTGCATTTTGGTTAATAATTTGTGATTGTAAAGCGCCGTCGCATAAACGAATGCGCAAAACTTTCTCGTTAATAAATTTTGAGCGGAAACCAAACGCGGAAACGAAGTAAAAGAAAAAGAAGCGATTTTCATGACGCTACGTTAACTGGCGATTTTTATGTTTGTTTGGGCGATAATCTGTCATTTTTCAGCAGGAAAAATCATACAATACTGCACTATATTGATATTCAAGAATTTCGCAACTTTTACTTAAAACTATCTATTTATGGTAAAAGAGGGTTACTAAGTAGCATTTTTTAAACATTATTTCTTAGTAACGAAGAAAAGACCATTTTCAAAATAATTTATTAAAGAATTTTTTTTTTGCCAACTACCAGAAAATTACAAAGTTTATGTAGATTTCAAACATTCAATATATTTTCTCTTATATAATTGCATACAATTTTCTTAATGTTACAATAAAAAATATTTTGTCATTTTATTTTTCAAAAATTTTAAGATTCGAATTAATTATAAATTTAATTCAATTTTTTGCCGACCAGCAGAGACGTCAGACATTTTCGAAATATGCCTGACTTAAAGGCCTTTCCCTCGCGTAGAATTCGTTTCATAAATTTTGCGAACTGTGTTTCACATTATGTTGCCACTTCTAGAGGACCTGTGTGGTAAAGAAACAAAAGCAGAAAGACGCATTCCAGATAATTGCTTAGAGGTTCCTCAATTTCAACACCTTTGCGGGTCAAATGCATTAGTTTACTCAAAACCAATGTTTCCACGTAACTCTATACTGATAAACCGGATTCAATGTTTTCAAACAGTTGATCCAAGTTTTCAATATTTGTTATTGTGTGCGTAACTTTCGGCATTTCAGGCTTTAGCCACCTAAAAAAAGAAAGTGTGCATAAATAAAAAGCAAATAAAAAAATTATATTGAACATCAAGTAAAAGCAATATACTGGGTCACGTACCACCACGACTTGTAAAGTTTATACAACGACTTGTCGAAATAAGGCTATATATGGAAAGTAGTCGAAAAAACTGTCCGATCCGAACCACTTTCAACAGAGTTCGTCCTTGGGCCAAAACACGCCGGAATTTCAATTTTTCCCAATGCTACTGCCGTCGTTGCCATGTCTTTTTTTTTTTTTTTTGTTTGTTTAGAGATGGATTGGACCAGTTAAGTTAATGTTAGATCCATAATCCAGAAACGAAGTTGAGAGCGATTGATGAAAAAATTTAAGCATAGATAGACTGATGTGGCAGAGTGTTCGCAATGAGAGGCTCTGTTCCGCTGTCAATCCATAAATCACCGTACTTGGTACTGTACTGTAAAGATCCGGCTAATAATGCCGATAAAAGAAAAAGTGTAGGCGATTCGTGATTGTAATAGAAATACTAAATGTAAAAGTAGAATGAAAACTCAGCTGATTTGATAAAGGCATTCAGTTGCTTCAAATGCCTAAAGTTACCAGCACGAAAAATTTCATATAGATTGTTATACAGGTTAAATATACTGAAAGATTGTCTAAGGATGTCAAACCTCCTGCACTCAAAAATAAGATGCTCGGCAGACTCAGTAATATTGCAATCCTCACAGATGTCAGAGGAGGAGACTTTGATCATTTTAAAATAAACCTTGTCGTAGGTGTGATTACTCATAAGACGGTGAAGAACTTTAAATTCCCATGTTGTGAATTTTCCTTTAGGTAGAAGCGTGGGTGTCAAAAAAGGGTAAATTTTGTAGAACAGCCGGTCACTTTTTTCTCTAGCTAAAACATGATACTCATCTTTCCATTCTTTTATGATGAGTTTTTTGACTAGCAGAAAAGCTTCGCTGGGGGGGTAGTTTATGGACAAAACTGTACCATCGAACCTAGCTTGACGAGCCATGTCAAGGAAAAAGTGATTGTCTCCGGCGGGTACACCAACTGCAATAGCATTTATGCCACGAGCGGCCTCCTTTGCACGCGTTGGCGCCATTACCGGCGATGCATTAGTCATGGAAATGCCTACAAAACCTTCTTTCATTGCTTTCATCGGATAACACCCGGGCCATCCGATAGTGATTGGAATTTTTGACACAAACCCAACCGACACCGGCTGTTTTAGATTTCTTAATGGCTAAATCCATACAGACATTTCCAATAACGGCACCTAATGCGTTACAACCGTCAAACCCAAATTTATTATTCTCTCAGGAAACCAAATAGTGAAATGTTATTATATGGGGAAATGCTTTGGAGACATGGAAAGCTAAAGATTGTTGAAATGATGTGCCAAGTATTTAACTCAAGGACTAGTCCCCAAGTTTTGCCAATGTTAATATCGGCCTCCTGAATAAAAGTTATTTAACAAAAATGCTGGTTAGTACAGTATGCTTCAGTACAGACTGGAAAAAAGTATCTTCTTTCTATTTCAAATTGATTTGTAACATCAGCATCGTTAGGTCAGTTTAATATTACGCAGTAGGCGCGCAAATAAATTCTTTGTACTTCTTGATGAGATTCAAATTTATTTAAAATATATTTGTTACAAAGCTTAATAAGCAAAATATTTACCGTCGTTATATGTGATCTTCTGTTTCCGCTCGGGTATTTCATGGATGCCGCTTCGGTAGAAGCTTTGAGGAAATTTTCGCAGATCTTCAACTTGTAGAACCGCTACTCTTCTAAATAGGACTACGGCGAATCCTGAATCTATGTTAATCAGGAGACAGACGTGATCAATAATCTCAACTGGTAGAGAGACCAAATTTTAAGGTTGCAACCTCGGTTGCTTTTGCTAGCGATGCGAATATTTCGTTTCGTTGCGAATATTATCGTTTTCAAGACAAAAACTCCAAACCCTACAACGAAAGCGGCAAAATTATAAAAAAACGATCGGTATCTCTTAGAAAAAGAAGGCATAAAATTTGATATGGTGCTACTTGTACTCACGCAACTTTCCATTAGTTGTTTCTTCAAATGCCAATTATTCTTTAATTTGTCCTAGCAATTCAACAAAATTGAGTGGCTTTGGGGAAAGGTTTTGCCAAACGTCGATTACGATTGCAGCCTCTTTGTTCAGACTATAAGACTAGAAGACGCGACCAGAAGAAAAACGCAAATTTCTCCTGACCAGTGACCACTGTCTCGTCAAGTGTTTCCCAACGATGGAAGGATTTAATTCATTTCACTTTACGAAAGTTTTTTTCTTTTGCTTTGTTTCACTGGTTTTAGAAAATTTATTTCGTATATCAAATTAAAAATGTACACATCAGCCATACCGTCCATATAAAGTTTGGACTTTTTTAAGGTTTTATATTCCACTATTGCTCGCCTCAGTAAAAACTAAATATTGTAAAAAAGTACTAAACTTAGTCAGGAAGAAAATTTATGCAATTTAATAACAATGAGAACCAACACTTCAATAGTTTAATTCGTTGACTTATTGGTTTTAGTGAGTTCCTTCTTCCTCTACAAACTCAGGGATGTTATGTGCTTATATCGTAAAATTCAATGGTGAAGCAACACATTACCCTCCGTTTAATGAATGCAGAACGATAATAGCCTTCAAATCGTTTCTGTTTTGTGCGTAAATAGGTACAAGTCTTAACAACCGAGTTTTTCAGTTCCAAAGCAATAGGCACAATAAACCTAGTGCTAAACAATCTTTTGATAACGTAGAAAATGTTTACGTGACGAGTTCACACTCGCAACTTCTACTAGCTGCGGTGAGGAACAAAGATGAGTGGTTGAGTATTATAATGCCGCCAAAATTTAAATGTGGCCCACATATCATTAACTAATTGCAATAAATAAAGTGATTCATTTAACTAAAAAAATTTTTTTCCTTAAGTTACTGAGGGTAGCTAAAAAAGAGAGCAACTTTTACATGAATTCGCCCTTTCAATACATTATTCTTAGAATACATTTTTCCAGAATAGGACAAGCAAAAAAAAAACTTTTTTAAGTAGTCAAACTTCTTTAATTGAACCCTTTTGATTTATATGTTATAAAAAAAAATAATAGTAATTAATAATTATACAAAATTTTTAGTTACATCTACCTCAACATAAGCCTAATTCGAATCTAAATATAGAACATACCTCTATACTATTATTTAAGAAAATCAACGGTGTAATCCTGATAAGTATTTTCGGCGCAGAGATCTTCGGTTCCGTCTTTAAACGTCTTACTGAGAGTGCATTTGTTCTGCCCTGCAAGAAGGAGAACACGGGTTGTTCCTTATCGTATTAAACGATCGAAATCGCATTTCATGGACTGGTAGTTTGACGAGCAGGAGAAAGGTAAAGTGCTAAAGGCAGATTTCATGTTCGTAAAATAAGCACTTATTCGTGAGAGAACCTAGACTCGCTGAAATATCAAATAAAATAACAGAAACGGTTTATTTTATTTATTACTTTACCCTGTAAAAAAAAGGTTGCAGTGTTGTAAATTGGAATTCGAAAGAAGTTTGGAGTTAAACTACGTGCGTTACAATAATCCGCAGGAAAAAGGTCAACCAAGAATCCGTGTTATGTATTTTGCCTGAGGGAACCTTTTATTATTTTTTCCACTGTTCTGCAATCCTAGCACAATAAAAATCATGTTTAAACATTCTTCTTCATTCTTCATTGTTGAACGATTTTATCCTGGAACATCTTGCTGTCACCGCATCTGTCAAAGGCAGAAAAGCTTCCTAAACTTTAACTGGTGCGAAATAATAGAGAAAAGGGGAAGGAAAATGCATAATTCCACACCCCGGCAAAACTTTACGCAAAATTTTTTTATTTCTTGAGAAAATTATTAAGAACTTTCGAATCGCGCTCAAGTTCATATTTACTCAATGCTCGTCTCAAAGCAACTACGCTAGTGTACTTTGGTTTGGAGACAGCGGTATATTTATTTCTTAAACAAAGTTATTGTAAACAAAGTGTTGCTCTATTTACTCAGCAGAAGGTCGTAACAGATAACCTCAGATTTGATTAACTCTTAGCGTTATTTTGCTTCATAACTTTTTTTCATCATCATCGTCGCCGCCTGATCGAGTTTTTGTAACCAAAAGCGAACCCGGATCACACACAACAACAATTTAACGAAAAATAATTGTTTTCGAATTTTTTTTCTAAATTTGTAAAATTGTTTTTAAAAACCAAACACGCTGAAGCTGGCCTATCAAACTAAATTAAAATTGTCTTGAAATTGTCCAGTCTTTGCTATCTTAAAAACAAAAAAAAAAAAAACGTAGGAACAAAAATACCCGGTTTCGTAGCAATGCTGTGTGCAAAAGTATGGTTATGGTAGTAAAACAGATGTTTTTACTAGTTCTTTAAATTGTGGTTGAGATATTTCAAAAAACTGCAACTTCCTGAGTTATAAAGCTCTTTTAACGGATTTCCTGAGTTATAAAGTTCTTTTAACAGATTTCTTGAGTTGTAAAGCTGGCGGTTTTGCAAATTAAACGATCTGGCAATTTAAGTTGTTAGTTGGGCACTCAATCATTTCAGAGCATTTTTAGCAATTTTCTTTTATTTATTATAAGCGACTCTGTGGTTTAACATGGAATTTATCGAGAGTTATGTTCAATTTGATAATAAAAAATTATGCCGGTTTAATTTTAGGCTAACTTGTAAAGTAAAATAAATTAAGAAATTTTATAATCGCGAATTTTATCTATTGAGCTGTTCAAACATAGAATTCATGCGTGTGCCTAAAGAATTTTCAAATTCAACTGGTACGAACTTAATTCAGCGGTTAATCTGAAAAAGACTTTGTAGAATCGAAAGACAGTTTACGTTACAATCTAAATATTTTGTTTACTAGCTTGTATCTAAAGGAATACCAAATTTTGTAGCGTGGATTTTATTTTGTCGAAATTATTGAAAGTGCTTAGAGAAGTGGTTTACCTGAATGCTCGTGTTGCTTCTTTTACTTACTTAGGTGCTGGTAAGCCGTACAAACCAGTTAATAATATTTTCATGAATCCTAAATATCTTTTTTTAACAATATTATATTTATAATTACGCTTAGCAATGCTTTTTTATATTAATTATCGAAACAGTAAATATATTAATTTCCTTTCTGCGACAACATTACGCTGGTCACATCCTTAAGTTGGTCACAATCTTTTGTGGGAAGAAAGGATCGATACTTAGATTATATCTTACACATACACATGCAATAAATTTAACCAGAGAATAAATTCTTTTCTTTTAAAGCGCGCTTGAGATTTGAAGCCACTTAGGCGGATAACTTGTAAAATTAAATAAGTTTAGTTCGCGTATTTTCCAAAACACTATATATACATCTAGAGGAGATGATAGAAAAGCAAAAGCGATCAACTCAAGGAAGAAGAATCGGAAACAATCAGAAAATCATCAAAACCATTAAAAAGGATGACAATTTATTTATATATATAAATATATAGTTATTTATTTCATTTATATTTAAACATAAATTACATAAATTAACACACAACAGAAAACAAAAAATAAAATGAAGTCAAAAAATAAAATTAAGGCGAAAAACAAAACAAAAAAAATTGAAACTAAACTAAATACATATTCAAATTTGAAAATTAATTCAATAATTGAAAGTAATTCAAGTCAAGAAACTAAACTATTAAACTATATATATACATATTACATAAAAGTTACAGACAATTCCGTCAAATCTCGGGCATCGTTGTCAACGCAGTGCTTGATAATCAGGTATCAATAAGGATCCAAAAACGAGTACGTCCGGGTTACCGTATATATATAAAAGGTAATGGGATCGAGAAATTGCAAGGTTAGTTAGTGCCTTGTTTTTGTTGAAACCTAATCCATGTCGCACATCGCTAGGTGTAAGCTCCTTGCTTGATCTCACTGTTGAGATCAATATTATTTCGCGTTCCTAAAAAAAACCAAGCAACAATTAATTCAAACATGAGTGTAAATTTGTGTAAATTTACGAAATTTATACCTGTCCTTGGAAATCCTCTACAGTACCTATTTTAGGCGCTGCTACGTCGGCATCATCGAAAAGTTTACGCAGACGTTTAACTTGTTTTTCGTACGGTGTTATGATGCCGATGGATTCCGGTTTGATGTTTTTTCGATACAGCTTAACTGTCATTAGAAAGACCTTTAAAAATTAAATAAATGGTATAAAATACTAAATTGAAGGGGTTGTGCTTTTAAACTAAAGACAACTTACCATCTTCGCTTCGTAAGGATTATACCACGACGGTGAGTCGTTTTCCTGCATATCTTTAGAACGTATTCCGTGGAAGAATATGCCATGTGTTTTGGCTCGAGTTGAAGATTGCGGCAGCTAATCGTCAAGTTTCTTCAGCATTGCAGCTTCCCAAGAATTGTCTTCTCTTATCATTGTTATCAACATTTCTCTATAAACATGTATGTTCAGTATGGAGGGCAACAATAATTTCAGTTTCTGTGCACTGGCCGACGTCATCAATTAGCACATGCGTAAAATGATTGGGTGAAAAGCCCATTTGCAAAAAATTTCCTAGGGTAGCGCACGTACCCATCGTTACCCGATGGCGCCCTAAAAACTTCATTTGGCATTTCAGTTTGAGTCCGGATTCGGTGACAACCATATCATCTTCGGAGCAGTACTTTAGGCCAGTATCCCAGAATTTGTTGCCTGTTGCGCAATGCGGCATTAAATCCTCTGGTATAAGTCCTTTTTTGAGCTCTTTGTGAGATACTACACGTATAAGTTCATCCATCTTTAGTCCGCCGCTTTCGATTAAACGCGTCGTTATTACATTAGCAGAACTATTGGAAAGTGTGCGTACAAGTAGACGTGCACCGGATACCAATTTAAAAATTTTCAAATTGCTCTCCACTAGCGTTACAGTTTTTCCTGTGCGGGGAGGTCCGAAAATCACGTATGGCATGTTGTTAACTTCTCCTCGCAGTATATTTGCTACGGCTGTTTTCTGTATAGAGTTCAGTATGCGATTGTACCATATACAATGCTGACTGTCTAACAAGAGCTGTTCGTAATGTTCATCAAAGTGTATATCCAATTGTGGGCATTCGCGGGTCTGTACTAGGGAGGGAAACAAACATTGTTCGCCTAAATTTTCAACCGCTCGTGAGACGGCGTAGTGCTGCTTTCGGGAAGTAAAATTCTAAATGGTAATCTCGGTTGTCATATTCCCGCTGAAAGTTGTCATCGAATCGAAGTAGAATTGGAATATTCTCCAACATGTCCTTTTGGCAACCCTCAGTAATAAACGCCTGTTTTAATGGTTCTGGTACTTCGAAGCTTTTGAATCAAAGGACGTATTATAAATAATTGGTCTTACAAAAAGTCTCCGCGGTTTCGAGCTATTTTTTGTAGCCTGCTCTTCTTAAATAATTTCATTACAGAGCCTTTGCTATTTTTGCCAGCTTGTGTGCTGATCTTGCTCCACCAGTTGCAATATTCCATCGAATTTTCGAACAGAACGGGGTGCGTCTTTGACATCGAAATTCCCAGAACGGAATCGAGCCAATCACTCTTGGGTCCATCGTTCACTTCGGCATTCTCACAGTACACTTCACAATTTTTTTTGTAACAAAAAGTCATCACATAGCGTATTTCTTCAGATATTTCACTAATTTTCAAATCAATTAACTTTATACACGAGCAAAGAAGTAGAAAACTATCTGCGCAAAAAAAAGTTGAAACGTCACCTTTTAAGTGTTCGTTTGAGATAATCAGGCATTAACATCATCTTACGAAAAAAAACCGCGGAGGCTTTTTATATGACGTAATTCAAGATATAAAACTGTGCCACGATAGTACCTAGCAGTAGCAGTTAATGATTAGAATAGCGTTTGCAGTATAAAATTCTATTTGTTTGTTAACATTTTCACAACATTTGATTGAAATTGATTTTCATGACAATTTTATCTAAATTGAAGGAAATATTGTGAAAGTTTTCCTTAATTTATTATTTATACGCTTTATTATTATACGGCAAGAATAGAAAACTAGAAATATTTTGCAATCGTTATAATCACTTGGCTGTCCCACCCTCTCACATAGATAAAGTTTTTAGTTTATTGCCGCGCTTTGTGCACAGTCAATGCATTCAGTGAATAATGAAAAGAATACTTTTCTATTAATCGGTTTGAAATCGTAAAAAAATAAACAATTAATAAGAGAAAACGAATTCAAATAATTAAGGCGATATTCAAGGAACGGGGTCTCAACGGTCTCAACGATAAAACAATAATAGCAAACAATAGCAAACGTCTCAGTTAGCCAGATTATCTTTGAAAGTGTAAGGCGGTGGGCTCTAAAACACAAGATATGTCAATTAAGAATTAAATGCATATTGAAAACACGAAACTTTTTGAAATCTGACCCAGCATCAAGGGAGTGATTATTGCCGCCTTACGTTTGTATGTTGCAAAGCGAAGATGATGCTCTTCTCTACATCTATCTTAGCTTCTTACTTTCCTCTCTCTGTTTGCAAAGGTTTTTTCTTTCTTTTGCATTGGTTTTTGTTGCAAGGTTGCATTCACATGCGGTTTTAGAAGTAACGGCTTGCTTTACTTTTACGTAATGCTCGAAAATCGGAGAAATAGTATTCTCTATGAAGACGCATGAATTCTTAAAACAAAAGTTAGAACCAGAGAAAGCTAAAGCAGAATAATACACAACTTTGATTTTTTTTGCAATCGCCTAAAGCAATGCACAAATGTTTTCCGGCTTATTTTTGTCGTCAATCGGGGTGATCCGACAGGCCCCGTGATATTGCTACTCGAATGCATTAATTTAAATCCGTGCGTGCTTACAGTGGAATAAGATGGATTGCATTGTGTATAAGTATGTCGGACGATGCTGACACAGATAGAGTAGCCCGGACACGGTTATACAGGTTAAAAATGTCTGTTGGGACCATTGTATCATTCCCATCTAAATTAGTTCTGTAGACTGCTCTTTAAGATTTTTGCTCATCTAATGGACTTCTTTTGCGATTAAGTTCGTATTACAGAATTGCGAATTTTGGGATAGTATAGGCTTTATCTACATTTGTTAAAATATCTAGGCGCAATTTCTTTATAGCAATTTGTATTTGCAACGATTCTTCTGGTCTTGTCCGTTGGAATTGGACTCCATTAACTTTACCTTTTACAAATATTCTGCTTATATATAATATTTCAAGCAAGCCACCAATATCTAAACTGTTTTTCGACAATCGACAGCTGCGTGAGGTAGGTAAAGTGCTATGAATGTGTGCTCTTTTAGAACTTGTTCTCTTACAAAATTTACCAAATTTCAGGCAAGCGCATTTTATCAATTGTGGAATTTTTGAAACGATACTTTCTGACAGAGAAGTGAAATTTGTGGCCCGCCATATTAGTATTGACACAAAAAGAACAGGTGACCTTAAGAGTCGCATTAAAGAGAAAATTAATAACAATTCTCTCTCCCTCTCTCTCTCTCTCTTACGTCAATCCCAACTATTTTCGCACTGTATTCAAAGCGTCGCGATCCACCGCGCATCATGCAGAGATCTAACATTTATAATTTGCAGTTATCGAGAAAAACTTAGAATAGGATAAACAACTTGTGACCGTTTAAACCTCTCTTCAACTCGGTTAACTAGCCTAGTGGACATCCTAAAATTTCTTCCAGAAGCCAACAAAAACCTACATTTATTTCTACCCAATTGAACTAATCATCTAATTTCTTTCCTCCAAAACAAGGCTAACGCACAACACTTACTTTCTTTTCTCCCCATTTACGTCAAAAATTTATATCTTGACTCGTTAATATTAAACCTACCACGCGCGGTCAAATGACCGTTTTTAAAATTTCGTTTAAAATTTCTCCCATACATCGTTACTGTCTCGTCATGTAGCTTATTGACTTTTCCTAAAATCGTTGCTATGAAATAAAAACATTTTAGCATACAAAACCTATTAAGATAGTTGTTTGCCTCGTGGGATGAATATTAGATATTTCCAAGTCAATAAATAAAATTTATTCATTCATTATTTTTATGCCTGTAAAGCAATGACGCTGACTTAATAATCCCTATTTACGCACTCCGTGTTTATACTCGTTCAACTGTTTGCCACTTGTAAACTTTCTAGTCGTGTTATTATTAACGCTCATCCAATGATTTAAGGGAGCATATTAATTGGATGTCATGACATTTGTAAATCAATAAAACACACCAAAGCCCCACCGATCAAGAAAATATGATGTCAACATCGTTAGATGGTCTTTTACGTATTATAGAACCGAGATACCGATTAAGCCTTATTTACGTATTTGTTCAATCTGGATATTCAAAGTTTCGCCGAAGCCCATTGGGAATTTCTGCTTTGTTTTATTTATTTATTTATTTTTTTTTTCTTTTTATTAAGAAGATAAAAATGCATGCTTTTTACTAAACTATTTATTGAGTTTATTATGCGTATGTGATAATTGTTTTCACCTAAAACATTTGTATCGCAACTGTACTCAAGTGCTTTAAACTGTTAAATAGTATTGAAAGTTTTCGCTATGAGAATATGTGCATTCTTCCCAGAGAGAGAAACGGAACTAATCAATGTAAAAATAAGCAAAGAAGCAGACAGCTAAACGACAGCTAAGAATAGTGCACTTTTATCACATACATGCATGTATGTGATCACGATGACTGCATTTGCACTCTATTCATTTTAATTATGCGAAATGTTGTTTGAAATATTTTATTTTCTTGCTATGTATTACAAAAACAATAATAAATGTAATGACGAAATTATGTTTCTCGATATCGTGCAAGAGCGTGCAAGAGCAGAGCACATTGACTCGAGAAGAAAGATGTAACAAATGAATGAACGAAAGCAATTTCATGCATAAACGAGGTGAGAGAGCCCTACGATCATCCGTAAATGGCTATAGAAAATGTTCACACATTCACATTTCGTCTGTTGGAGTTGTAAGTACGCAAAAATGCAAATATCCGTACGGTATTAAAAGCTTGTGATCCATGCAATTACTATTTTTTTTTAAGCTAAGCAGCACGCGCACATATATATATATATATATATATAGCGAAGCAAAAAGCAAGATAATCACCTGAAGCAGTAACGCATGAGTTCAAACAAATTTTTCTCACCAAAAAGGTG